CGGGAATCCTACATTTTTCAGTAGGTCGGGGGCTGTCTCTTATACACATCTAGATGTGTATAAGAGACAGATACATACATATACATATATATATATATATATATATATATATATATATTTAACGTATTTTTAGGGGTCAAAAAAAAAAAAAAAAAAACAGGCCGCGGATTGGGCCTCATCGGCCGCGACCGCGGCCGAAATGCCCGCGACCTAGGCCGCGGGTGTCGCATAGTGGCTGTCTCTTATACACATCTAGATGTGTATAAGAGACAGTATATATTTAACGTATTTTTAGGGGTCAAAAAAAAAAAAAACAGGCCTCATCAGCCGCGGCCGAATCTCGGCCGCAGCGGCCGAAATGCCTGCGGCCTAGGCCGCGGGTGTCACATAGCCCAGACAGCATCAGGTCCAAGGGAGAAGTCTGCAACTGTACAATCTGGGCCCTCAGCTGTGAGTCAATCTGGACGACTGTGGGAAAAGCACCCGAGGCCAGACAGCCTCGACATCTGTTACTTAAGGCTGGTCTCGAGTGAGTCAAGCATTCAGTCTTGCTATGCTGCTTTGATGCTGGCTGGGCTTTGACTAGACGCCGGCTTCATGCTGGCGCGACGCTGGCTACACCCTGGCTATACACAGGCATTGTGGACTACTGCACGAGGTGGAGGCACCATGCTGGCGCTTCTGCAATATGCGCCAAACTTGCTGAGGTGGCATGCTGATGTGGCGCTACCTATGGTCTACATTGCATGCTGACGTGGCGCTGCCTATGGTTTACAATGCTGATGTGGCGCTGCCACTGGTCTTCATTGATGATGTGGCATATGCCACCTATCTCGACTGCTGATGTGGCATTGTGCCACTGTCCACGCTGTCTACATGAGGTGACTGGTTGCGTGCAGGAAGAAGATCGGGTTCTGTGGATGAAGGAGATCGGGTACTCACCTGAGGTTGACGTCGACACTGGAATCTGCTATGTCTTCATGGTCTTCACGAGATAAAGTGCCACGT